AAATTTATTTAAATTAAGAGCTCCATTGGTTATTTTTATAATTTTTATCAATCTTCAGTTTTTGTATCTGTGAGTAGTGGGATATTATTATTAGGTTAGTGTAACTCATCCATTCATTAACTATTTAAGATCAAAAGGATCAAAATTCAAATTCCGATCAACAAAGAGGTTGTGAATAGTTTACCATCCGTACTCCTTCAAAAGCTAGTGAAGATCGTCCTAGAATTCTCAGTTATTTATTTTTCATTTATTTTTTTAATTTTCGTTTATTTTTTTAGAAAGGACATTTCCATAATCCCATTGAATATTTTAAATTATTGTGTAAAGAATGTAAACACCAACTCTATTATTTCGTTTCCACATTTAACTTATGATTTTATTTCTATTTAAGTTCCGAGTCGTTACGGTGATACTAATAATAAATTTGAATAATCAAATCATTAATCTCTCTTGTATATATCTGTGTATATATATATATATATATATATATATATATAGTTTGCATCATTCCTATATATAGAGTTAACGTTTCATTTGAGGATCAAACAATTTATTTTTCCAACTTGTATAAAATGTTGTTTTGTGATGGGTATATATATACTTACTTATTAATTACTACATCTTGTCTCTGTCAAATTTATTATCTGCTTCTAATTAAAAACAAGTTAAAAAAGGTCTGAGAGTTTGAGTTAATCCATTTTTAATTATTTGTATTAATCTTCTGATGAGACTGAAACTGAGACTGAGATCGTAGTCCTGAAAGCGCAGAAGATAGGGAAATTGTAAGGATCAAATTAAGAGGCAGCTGAACAGACCCATATTCTTATATGTATACATATACATACACACACACACACACATATAATATGCACATATAGCATAATATATAATAGAATTAAATATTAAAGGAGGTAAGACATGATTAATAAAGAGTGAAAGGGAAGGATAAGGGGAAGGTCACACTTACAACCAACTTCTAATCACGATCGATCTGCAGCAATAAAGGCGAGTTGGTGATGACGAAGTTATGTTTTGCATGTGATGATCATAATGTGTGTGTACGTATATATATATTTATATGCATGCATCTTTTTTTAAGAAAGTAAATCATAAGTTTAATCAGTGAGAAAAATTGTAAGATCCATGTCAGGAGCACCGCAGAGGACATCAAGAAGCTAAAAATGACATCCTATCTTTACCAACAGTGTAAGTCTAGTCACTAATGTTTTTTGCGTTTTACTTTAAATCTTATTAAAAATATAGAACTCCTCGTTGAATTATAATATTTAATTTAATAAAATTAAAATTTAATTCACTAATATATTAATAAGATTACGATAATTAAATTATATTAAATTCAAACAAATTTATTATGTTTTTAAATAACATTTTACAATAGTTATGAAATAATTAAGAGTAGAACAAATTAGAAGACGAGACAATTATTTATTTTATTTTTCATCGTCGATTGTGATTCCATTGGAGCAAAGATGAATTCCTCGCTGGGCACTTCCGAATTTAGTTTCTGCAAATCTTTTCATAGCATTTTTTGATAGAAGAAACTAATGCAAAGAGAAAATGGAAAACAGAAAAACAAAGACACTATAAAACTCAACACGATAATCTTTCTTTCTCCTTTCGTTGCTTGTCAATGTCTTGATCTGATGTTTCTTGCCCTGCAGGAAAGGTACGCAGGCAGATACGCTTGTTTCTGTTTAGGCGTTTTGATGTGCATGGAATACTGTTCGGTATCGTGGTTATATTTCCACTGTGTTTTTACAATGTGTTGAGGAATGGTGTGTGACAAATGATTGTTTTGAGAGAATTTGGAGAGAAGACCTAATTTCTTGTCGTGTTCTGGTTGTGATCGAAGTTTTTGGACACAGAGGTTTGCCTTAATCCACAAGAGGAATTATAAAAAATGCAGTCGATGCCTGACAGAGAAATAGTTATTCTCATTCTTGGAAGAAAAAGAATTCAAAGATGCAGTTTATGGACAAGGACTAGAGTCTTGTTTTATTACGTTTGTTTCTTTTCCTCATTGCTCCGAGTTTTTTTCTCAAATTTTCTTTTCTTTGAAATTGTATTTGGGGCTTGATTTTGCTTGGTTGACAAGAAAATTAAAGAAATTGAAGGAGAGGAGAAAAGACTACTTGAAAATATTAAAGATAACGTGCATTGAGTTGAATATAAAATTTTCCTTTCGATCGTTCTTTATGAACGTCCGGGTAATGTCTTTGTTCTAAAATAAAAGAAAAAGAAGATATTGGCATTGTCTTTATGTTTTACTTGTTCAATCAGTTTGGGGCCAAGTAATGATTACTTAAATGTTTTTGAAATCCTCTTTTCTCCCTCTAATTGTTTTGCCAATGAGATCTTTATGAAATGTTGAGAACACTTACAGCTCTTCCACAAGAATCTCGACACCTTTGGGGTGATCTTGCCTGCAAAAAGCAAAAACAAAAGGAACAATTATGAATGGAACAATCCTGAATATGGCAAGAGGCCAATAATCTCTCTTAATGTTCCAAACATGTATGTTAACATACATTTTTCGCAGGCAGGATCATCCGAAAGCTGGCGAGCTTCTTGCAGGGGAGTTGAAAGTGTTCTCAACATTTGATGAAGATCCTTTTAAGGAAATGGCCGTGCTTCTGACTTTAGGAAACTTAAGGTACATTAAATTCATATGTATACTTATAATTGATATTCTCATTGATAAGCATGTTGTATTAGAAGTATATGGTTTATGTTTTATTGAAATGGATATGATACTATAGTCAAGTCATTTGAACACTTGTTATGCTGAAAAACAAAACCTCAAAAACAAGTTAAAACTATAATTCAAAATCTTGCGAATGCTCATTTACAATTGAGTTCTTGATATTTTTGCCAACAACTATTACAAAAGGCCTTGGTGCAGGGAACTGGAGGATGAGCTGTCTCCAGCTCTAGTAGGTGAGAGAAATCATCAACACAGGAATGCTGGAAAGAGAGAGAGAGAGAGAGAGAGAGAGAGAGAAGAGGCAAAGGCAAACAGATAGAGATGTACAAATAACCCTACTAATTGCTATCAACAACAGGACTGAATTTGTGAAACTAAAACGAAACTTTCTTTACTAGCCATGGGGAAAGCAGTGTATGAGCTTTTAAGGTGATGGAACGATAAGTTGACTACAAATTTAGAGATATTTGATATCAAATTACTTTGGGAAAAAATTTCAGGGAGAATGAAAAGCTCTCCAAGTATGGAGATACTAAGTCTGCCCAGAGTATAATGTTTCTTGAACTTAAAAAACTGATCGAGGCAAATCCTCTTTTCCATAGTAAGCTTCAATTTCCAAGCTCAGAAAACTCAAGGCTGAGGAAGCTAATCAATCAGAGGTGACATGAGAAAAAGTCATATCTTGACAATTAAATCTGTAAAATCGTTGACTGCCAATTGAGATTATTTGTCATCTTTATTGATTTTCAGTTTAAACTGGCAGCAGTTCCTTTGCAAGCATCCTAGGCCTAATCCTTGGGGGCCAAAAGTCTTTTAAGACAGTGGGTTCCTGGACAACTGTGGTTTAGATCTAATGCTTTTACTCGTAGATACAGAAGATAAGGTATAGATATACTAAGTAGAAAATTTAGTAGAGAGGGAATTAATTAGTAGAGCTGAAGTTTCAGAAGCTCTCAGTTGCAGGGGATGTGATTGTTGATTTGATAACGAAAAGCAGAGAACTGAATCTCTCTCTCTCACTCTCATTTTATTTTGGTCTTGTTCTATGGAGCATCTAATATAATTCCTCCTCGTAACGAGCTCCGAAAAGGGAGCACTTTGCCGCTGAGCCACACAGGCTCCGATCTAATACAATTCCATGCGTCCATCCTCAACTAGATTCCACTATACATCGCTAAAAAGGAGGACCTGGCTTGGAAAAAGTCTACTCTATTTCATTCAAGCTTTTTAATTAATTAAAACTCAAGAATCTATGTCATTCATACGAGTAGTCCATATTATTAAGAGAGACTAAAAAGCCGTACAAGTGCCACGTGTTGCTCGAAAGAAATTACACACTGTCCTCTTGCCAGGTGGCCAGGCAAAACACCGCCATGCAGCTTCTTTGAAAGCTAAAAGCAGACACGTGCACCCGCAGTATGCACAACCACACTTTATGGATCCGTATTCAAATATATATACGTATACGAGTTAATCCATTAAGGAATTACTCTCAAAGCCCAATCGTCTCGGCAACAAATCCAAGATGCAGCAGCAGCCACCGCGAGAAGGCGGAGACCAAGCAATCCCACGGGAGTTGGGGGACGCTAAGGTTCGAGATCTGATCGCCCTACTCGGGAAAAGAAGACTAGTAGAGGTCCCTTACACGGCATCTCTTTCGCACACCATGAACGCCCTGGTGGCTAACCGGGTGGTGGCAGTGCCCGTAGCTGCACCACCTGGACAGTGGATCGGCGCCGGAGGGTCCATGATCATGGAGGCTGATAAGCAGACGGGTGTCGTACGGAAGCACTACATAGGAATGGTCACGATGCTGGATATCCTAGCCCATATTGCCGGTTCTGGAACCGATAATGGGATTGACGCTGGTGATCTTGATAGAAAGATGGCGGTTCCAGTCTCCTCCATCATTGGCCATTGCCTTGAAGGCCTTAGCTTGTGGACTCTTAATCCTAATACCAGGTCACTTGATAATTTAATAATACTTTGCAGATCTAATGCATAAATATTTGAATATGTTTTTCCAACTTATTAATTTGTTATGCATGGAAAATGTGTGTGTGTGTGTGTGTATAGTCTAGTGGACTGTATGGAAGTGCTGAGCAAGGGAATCCACCGAGCTTTAGTTCCAGAAGAAAGCCATACTCAGGAGCTGGACGTTCCAGGAGTTGAGCTTGTGGAGTCTGCATCGAGTTACCAGATGCTGACACAAATGGACTTGTTGAGGTTCATCAAGGCCAATTCGTCTGCTTTGCACCATATCACCTCTCGCTCCATAACAGAATCAGGAGCTTTAAATCAAACAGTTTATGCCATCACCAATCGCACCAAGGTCGTCCAAGCCATCCACTGCATGAGAGCTGCTCTGCTCATTGCCGTCCCCATTGTCCAGGCCTCCGAAGCAATTCAAGAGGATTATACCCAGCTAGTAAACGTAAGAATAATTATAAATGTATGATTAAGCGATTGACAATTATTATATTTTCGGGGATTGTAAACATTGTATGTATAATATTTGTGTGTATGCAGGGGAAAGGGAGGAAGCTGATAGGAACATTTTCGGCGACGGACTTGAGAGGATGCCACTTGGCGACATTGGAGACATGGTTGCCACAAACCGCTTTGGATTTTACAGAGAAAGTGTCGACGTTGCAGGCAGGGCCTCGGGCAAGAGAACTGGTGAGTTGCAGTGCGGATGAGTCTCTGGGTGAAGTGATTAACAAAGCAGTGAGTAAGCATGTTCATAGACTTTGGGTTGTGGACGAAAATGGCTTTCTTCAAGGTCTTGTTTCTCTCTCTGATATTATCAAGGCCTTGAGGGCTGCTTTGGTGTTCCCCAATTCTCAGCCTTTCTGATCATCAACCCAATTGCCATATATCATATATCAGATGTTAGCTCTCTCTATATTTTATATGTATGTAAAAATCTTCAAGTAGAGTTTTTTAGCTTTTGTTTTCAAGTTTTGTTGTGCTTGTGACCAGGATGGATTCTCAATCTCTGGGAGATAGTGAAGTCATGACTATATTGTAAGGATTTTTCCCATTCCTGGGACTTTTGGTAATTGGTAATTAATTTTCATTTTTATTAAATTAGCCTGATGGAAATTTGTATTAATTGTTTTGAGACATTCACTAAATGATCTAAAATTAGTTGTGTTCAACCTCGATTGTAATAACATGATCTAATAGAGAGAGGGAAATTCAGTTCTCTGCTTTTCATTATCAAATCAGGAAGATGTGCTTGGACATTACTGTTACATGCCATTTTCGAAAAGCCCTCAAATAATCACATTCCGTGCTACTGAGAGCTTCTGAAACTTCAATTCTACTAGTTAATCTCCTCTTTACTAAATTGTCTACTTTTGTACCTCTATACCTTTTCTTCTGTATCTACAAGTAAGCATTAGATCTAAACTACAGTTGGCAAGGAACCCACTGTCTGTAACATCTTTGGCCCCCAGGGATATATGTATGTGCATTTCCTAAGATAGCAATCCAAGAATCTGCAGCGCCCCCTTTGAAACAAAATGGGGCTGCCATATGAAACCATATGAATCCTGCAGGCATCAGTCTGAAACCATGAAACAAAACCTCTTATTACCTAGGCTGTTGATCTGATCCAGCCGCAGAGGAGCTGCTAGGCCCTGCATCATCAACCGGGTTTGATGTACCCCACTTTCCCTCTGATTCCAGTGGTTCCAGAACATGGACTCTGCCATCAGTAAGTCCAACTGCAAACTGATTGGGCTCCGATGGATGAGATACGACAACAACTGGGTGTATTAAGCTGCCAAATAATTGTATCAATCATTAATAAGACAAATAGATATCGTTCAACTGAAGTTGGTTACTTACTGGTAGTAAAAGACACACCTGGGATTTGAAGGTAAATATGCACTTGGGTCAACCCGGCACCTCAGTTCGAAAGATTTGGTTGTGGCAGTTAGAATGTTCACAGTTCCATCTTCAAGGCATGCGTATACGGACTGACTATCACACGAGTATACAGCATCCGTGATTAACCCACTTGATACTCGAGGAACCCACTGCATTACGAGGAAAAAGAAGTCCTGGATAAGTTCTCATAATTTTGACAAAAAAATAATGCTTTTACAAAAATATGAATCCTGAGTTATAGTAGCTTTAACCTTCTGAATATTAATTCCAGTCAGTTGATAAAAGGATACAGAAGAAAACGAAAGATATATATCATAAGATTGATTTGCTGGTGATTGAATATCATAAGAGAATAATTTGATGAAGGGACATGAGGTGACATGTCCCAACCAAGATGAAGTAATGGAAAAATTATAACATACTCAAAAAGTCACATACCTGGGCAAGACATTCTAGCTTTGGTGCTTCATGTATGGATATCTGAGTTGTATGGACAGCCAGTACATGTATCTGATCCTGGTGAAAATGAGCTCGAGTATGTGAAAGATGATCTGGCAAAGTGACAGGAGGAATCTGCAAGAATTTGGCAGCCTGCTTCATCCACTTATCCATGCTCCAAACACATAGCTGGAAAACCTTAGACCTTGTTAGATATGGTAAAACGTTTTACTTATCATGTTTTTTTAAAATTTATATGTACTTATCCTGGACCCAGGTAGATGGTTCTATTTTAAGAAATTATGTATTTGGGTTTGATATAAAGAGAGGGAGAGTGAAAGGAGAAGTAGGAGTTAAGAGAGATAGAGTGAGAATAGCGAGTGGAAGAGATAAAAAATTAGAGAGGAAAAATATGTAGAAATAGAGTAATAGAAGAATTGAACTGAACTCAAGTAATTTTTACTTATGAAATTAGTCTGTTTAAATAAGACAAAAATAAACAAATATTACAAAAGATAAATGATCACCAACCTACTAAGAAAACCACTAACCTACTAATTTAGACTAGCTAAAATTAAGAGACCACTACTCCATGGTTAAGTCACCACTATTCCATTACTCCACTACTCCATAACTGCTAAATTAAATAATCACTAATTCATGACGAATAATTATTAAATATATGATAAAATCTTAATATTCACTCTTTTAAACTGAATGTTATACAATCAGTTTAAATTAGAAATCGAACAAACACCAAACAAATCTTCACAAATGCAGCCAACTTGAGAGACTTGGTTAGAATATCTGCAATCTGATCTTCACTTGATAATAAACCAATTCAATGACTTCTTCATTTGTGAGATCACGAAGGAAATGATATCTCGTATCTATGTGTTTGCTTGTGCCATGTAAAACTAGATTCTTTGAGAGTTTAATAATCGAGTTATTGTCGCAGTAAATCTGTATACGCCTCTGTTTGAAACAATGCAATAATTTGAATATTTTTTTCAACAAAATAGCTTGACATATATAAGAAGTTGCTACTATAAACTCAGATTCAGTTCTGAACAGAGAGACAATTGGTTGCTTCTTTGATGCCCATGATATTGCCTCTGAACTCATCATAAATACATGACCAGAAGTACTTCTTCTAGTTTCTAAGTCTCCTGTATAATCACTGTCACCGAAACCAACAAGATCTCATTCTTTTCCTTTCCGATAAAAAAATACTAAAATCAAATGTAACTTTTATGTAGAGCAAAATTCTCTTTGTTGCGAGGAGATAGAGATCAGTTGCACATTCTATAAATGTAGAAAATGTAAAAAATAGCTGTTATTCAAGAAGGAAAACAACTGTCATTTCCTTTGTCCTTTCTTGTGTACCGGATAAAGGAGAATAACAGAGTTGGTGCTGTGTCACCTACACCAATTCTGAATATTTCCTGACCCCACAAAATTTGATTTTAGTACAGAAAAGTTGTCATTCATTTGTGTATAAATATGCTCATTTCGAGTTGGAAAATACAAGCAGAAAATAGAGGAAAAACTTTCCTCAATATACTTCATAATTTCTTTATGGTATCAGAGCTTTTTCGGTTCTGATTCCGCATTCGACTACCCATGTTCCAGCATAATACAACTGTTATGGATTCTGGAGGTACGTCGTTCTCATCTTCATCTGAGGTATCTTCAAGACCTCTTTTTTCTTCAGCAGTCACGCACAGCCTCCGAGAGCAAGCCTCTTCATAAATTACGGGCCACAAGCTGACTGAAAACAACTATCTATAGTGGTCCTCTTCTGTGCTGCTTTTCATTCGGGGCAAGGGTAAAGAGGAATATATCACCGGAGAAGCAGCACCACCACTCGCCACTGGTCCAAACGCGAAGACATGGAAAATGGAGAACAGCCTCGTCATGTCTTGGCTCGTTACCTCAATGACGTCGGAAATAGGATAAAATTTTCTCCTGTAGGAAACTGCTCACGACATTTGGACTTCTGCCAAGGAATTTTATTCGTCCAAAGACAATACCGCAGCTGTGTTTGAAGTGGAAACAACCCTCTACGACCTCTACCAGGGCGACTCCACCGTGATACAATATTACAATTTTTTTATGCGAAGCTGGCAGCGACTTAACGCATTTGAAGAGGTGAAATGAGTCTCCCCTGAAGATGCCAGAACCTACCAGAACTTGGTTGAACAAAAGAGGATGTTTAAATTTCTGTTGGGTCTGTAAGAGGATGCATTCTGGGTCAGAAGCCTCTGCCCAGCATTCGCGAAGCCTTCTCAAAAGTCGGAAGAGAGGAGAGCCGAAAGAAAATTATGATGGATGAGGGCCATGTTGTAGCAGGGTCATTTGAGAATGTGTCATCTCCAATGACGCATTCCGAGAGTCGCGGGAAAAAGGGCAGACCATTTTGTGATTACTGCAAAAAGCCCGGCCACATACGCGACCGTTGCTGGTGACTTCATGGCAAGCCAGCCGACTGTCGTCCTCTGAAATCCAAAAGCTCACAGAATCGCGAAATAACGTGGCTGTAGTCGCAGCAACAAATGAAGAAGGGTCTGAGTCTGCCTCAGATTCTCGAAAAGACCATTTTACCCCAGAGCAACTTGATATTCTTCGAAAGACCATTCAAAAATTGTTGTCCCAAAGTTAAGCTAATATACCAGTCACTCAAAAAGGTAATAATCCTCAGGTACCCTGTTTTACAGCATGTTTTACAGGTGAATAAGCATGGATAGTTGATTCTGGTGCAACCGATCACATGACTAGTAATGTTTCTCTATTTAAAGATTACCATTCTTGCAGTGAGTTTTTCACCAGTACGGTTGCAGATAGAACTGTATCTAGAGTGGTTGGTATTGGCTTAGTTGTCGTGTCACCCTCAAATGTTATGGAATCGATTTTCTTTGTTCCAAATTTAACATATAATTTACTATCAGTTCGGAAACTGACTACTGATATCAACTGTGTTGCTAAATTTGGTTCAACTTTATATGAATTTCAGGACTCGGACTCGGAGAAGATGATTGGCAGTGCTAGAATGCATACCGAACTCTACCTCTTTCGTGTTGAACCTTCTAGTAGACAAGCTCTAAATGTAGTATATACTGTTCTATTTCTGTTAGTCATACTTATGACCATGAAATCATGTTATGGCATTCCCGCTTGGGACATCCAAACTTTCTGTATTTAAAGAAACTGTTTTCGTCACTGTTCACTAATAAAGACCCTTTATTATATCAATGTGAAACCTATCAACTTTTTAAGCATGTTCGGAATACTTTTCGTAGTATCAAGTATACGTTATCTAAACTATTTTTCTTAATTCACAGTGATGTTTGGGGACCTTCCCGACTCACTGACATATTCAGAAATAAATAATTTGTATCCTTCATTGATGATTACACAAGAATCACTTGAGTATTCCTTATAAAAGAAAAGTTAGAAGTAGGAGCTATATTTTAAAAATTTCACAAAATGATCAAAACCCAATTTGGCACAACAATACAAGTGTTAAAATTTGATAATGCTTGTGAGTACTTTACATCAACCCTTAATAGTTATTTTGTTGAAAATGGTATAATTCATCAAAGTTCATGCGTCTATTCCCCTCAGTAGAATGGTGTTGCAAAGAGAAAAAATAGACACATTCCAGAAGTCATCAGGTCCATTATGTTTGTTATGAATGTACCAAAACATTTTTAGGGGGAAGCCTTACTCACAACCACTTACTTGATAAACAGAATACTTTCCCGAGTTCTCAAGTATCAAACCCCATTTAATCTTCTCTCAGAATCCTTTCCACATTTCCGTATCCTAAATTCCCTACCACTAAAAGTTTTTGGCTACTCTGCATATGTTCATGTCCACTCACCTTCGGAGTAAACTTGATCCTAGAGCCCTTAAATGCATTTTTGTGGGTTATTTTCCTCATAAAAAAGGATATAAATGCTTCT